CTAAATCAAGGTGCAGTGGTGCCTCCCCCAGGGGAAGCACCTCAGTTTCATTCTGTCTGCTGGTACTCTCTGTATCCCCAAAGCATGTACAGGTTCTTCAACAATTGTTGGTTCCCACAACTAAAAGACAATTACATGTTACTTGGGGAGTGGCTAGATGGATTGTTTCCTCCAGTAGATTCTATCCTCTGGTGAGATCACTAAGCCTCCAGTTTTTCTAACCAAAGATAAGGTTTCAGAACCTTTGCAGCTGGAACCAGAACATCTTATTGCCCTTGTGGACTTAAGAAAGCCTTGTTAGCTCCAGTGCTAGGACTTCCAGATTACAGTAAGCCCTTTTCTCTTTTTGTATATGAGCATAAGGGAGTAGCTTCAGGGATCCTCACTCAATCCCTTGGTCCCTCTCTTCACCCTATAGCATATTACTATGCTCAGCTAGATTCAGTGGCTGCAAAGGCTCCTCCTTGTTGGAGAGTGTTAGCGGCCACCACCCTTTCAGGTGAAAAGGCATGTGATTTGGTTTAGCAGCCACGCTTGTCAAGTAGTGTCCCCATGAGGCTGAGGCTTATCACACTCAAGCTTCCCTGATCAAAGACTTACTGGATATGAAGTGACTTTTTTAGGTAGAGGAAAGGGGATGCTAAAGCGTAATTTTGTTCTCAACCCAGCCATGTTACTCCCTGACATGAAATGTTATTTTCCAAATTTAATAGGGAGCCTCCCCATAACTATTCCTCTGTGGTAGATATGGCCAAGAGACCCTGAAATGACTTCTCTGATACCCTCTTGCAGAACACTCTCCACATCTTATATACTGATGGTTCCTCTTTTATGAGATGGCATCTGGTACACAGGCATTTCTGGGGTCTCCAACCATGACACTGTTTGGACAGCCTCTTTGCCACCTAACCTCAGCACCAAAGCTGCCAAATGGATGTGCTTGTACAAGCTTCCCTCTGGCTGCGGACAAAATACGAACCTCTATACCAATCCCTATTATGCCTTTGGAGTCCATCATATCATCGGGAAGCTGAAGGGTTTCTTGACTTCTTCTGGTAAGGTCATCATGAACACACAATACATTGGTGAACTTCTATCCTAGTGGCTCTGGCTTCCTAGTGGTCTGGCTATTATCATGGTCCTGCCCACACTAATGGTACTGAACCTGTTTCAAGAGGCAACAAATGTGCTGACACTACTGCAAAATGTGTTTCCTTTGAAGGCGCATGTGTTTCATCTTTCTGCCTTTGATGATGCTGACCTCTCTCTATCTTATAACGACTCTGAGATTGCAAAATGGAAACAGTATTTCTGAGCTAAGCAGGTATCTGGGGTCTGGGTGACTGTGAAAGGCAAACCACATCTTCTTTGGAGTTTCTGTCACCAAGTATGTCTGTTTGCCCACAAGGTAGGCCATTTTGGCACACAATGAATTGTTGATATGATTAGAAGGGCATGAGTTGCCCCTGGTATTACCCATGTTGCTGCGTGTATTTGTGCCTCCTATCCTACCTGTCAGGCATTTGATCAACATGCATTTTGTGCCATCACTATCACTTTCAGCAGCTGCCCCCTAGCTCATACTTCTTTGGAGCACTTGCAAATTGACTTCACCCACACACCTACGTCTGGCCTCTGAAGAGTCTGCTGAGTTGTTGGTCAGCTCACTCAGTGGGTGGAGGCATTGGATGGCTTTCTAAAGCCAAAGCGAGTTTTGTGGCTAAAATTTTTCTCAAAGAAATCGTGCCCTTCTTTGGCCCTCCTTGACTCAGTCAGAGTGTCTCACTTCACTGACACAGTTCCCAAATTTTTACTTGCCTTGGGGTAACTTCTAGATTTCATGACCTTTAACACCTCCAGAGTTCTGGTCAGGTTGAACATATGAACAAAGAACTTAAGGCTGTAACTGGCAAACTGTGCAATGAGACCCACCTTAAATGGCCTGAAGTGGCTTTATTTCATCTGTGAAGTAGACCAAGGGGAGAATTACATCTTTCTCCTTTTGAAATGCCCTTTGGTCATCCTCCTATAAAGACAAAACTTTTCTCCCTAGTATATATGTCATACTTGGAGGAGATACTTTTGTTGTTTCTTCTATACAGGAACTGAACAACAGGCTGGGGAAACTCCACAACACAGGAGCTGCAGTACAGACAGGGCCTTTGGACTTTTCCTTACACGGTCTTGCAAAATCATTCTGCAGATAAGTAAGGTCTACATCAAGAATTCCAGCAGACCAGTGGAACTCAACCTGCCTGAGAAGGCCCATTCCAAGTATGGCTGACCACCACAACTGCACTCAAGAGCTGAGAAAAGACTCTTGGGTACATTATGTCCACATAAAACTTGCTCCTTACTGTTTCACATGAGAGTAATGTATCCAAAAATCTTTTCTGTTTTTGTTTAATCTTAATATTTTTATCCATTGTACTTTCTTCCCCAGCTGACTCTTCTCTGGAGGACTGGAGAACAAGAGCACCTAAAAGCAATCTACTCATCGTTAGGGAAATTTTGGCAAATTTAGGATACTGAATACTTTTTTTTTAAAGGCAATTGGGGTTAAGTGACTTGTCCAGGGTCACACAGCTAGTAAGTGTCAAGTGTTTGGTCTGAGGCCAGATTTGAACTCAGGTCCTCCTGACTTCAGGGCCGGTGCTCTAACCACTGCACCACCTAGCTGCCCCTGATACTGAATACTTTTTAAATGGATACTTTGTACTATACTATATGCTTTATGCCTATGCATCCTTATTAACATAATTTGCAAATCAAGTTGGCTGTTGCTTAATTCTGATGTTATTACTGATTGCTCTTTCCTAATTCTATTCCTGCCAGGAGGATTGGAAAAGACTTAATACTATTAGTAAAATTCATGGTGATATAGGGTATGCTTTGTATCACCTTAGAGCAATTGGGCCCCACCCCATGTATGGGGGATTTGTCATCATCTCCACCAGACAGACCCTGATTTATGGGTCTCTATTAAAATTCTCCCACAACCAGCAGATTACATTGACTCTGGGTATTCTAAATACTACCTTTGAAAAGGGCTTCTATACTCTTTACTTAAGCTACTTATAATATTTATGCCTCTAGAAGGAAAATAGAAGATAATAAGCCAAGACCAATATCACTGATCCAACTTTATAATAAACAACTTATTTTCCAATTTAATGGGTGCCTTAATGTCATCAAATTTAGGATTTTATTGCTTGTATTTACCACTCCTCTTCTGAGTTTTCATTTCTGTGTCAACCAAGATGCAAGCTCCTGATGATAGAGTAGATTTAGGAGATTTGAAGATGTGCAGACTGACTTTTGCTTTTCTTGATATTGCCAAAGGAGACCCTTTTATTTGTGCCAAAACTTGCCTTTTTAATGGGATTAGAGACAGGAAACCTCAGTGTATTTCTTTGGCTAACCTTACTAATAATGGCTCTAGCTGGACCAAGTATGATTCAACCTTCAGTACAAATCTATACTATAAGAATAACAGAACGTTTGGAAGAATTACATATCCTATTTCAAAAGTTCCTTGGGGACTAGTGGCCCCTCGATAATTCTTTGTGCAATAAAGCTTATTCTTCCTTTCCCCTAAATTGGTCTGGGACATATGGGATCACCTATTTGGTCCCACCAGGAGTTTTAAACATCAAAAAAAAAAAAAAAGACAGGTTACAATCCAAAACTCTGTAAAACAACATAGAAAGGGGATGAAATGCCTTTGGTCCCTAACTCCATATATTGGGGTCTATGCTTTGGAACAGGCTGCTAAGAATTTCTCACTTAAAACTGAAAAACTCACACATAGCCAAGTGAGTCCATCTCTTCCTTCCAAATTGAGGTAGATTCTTTAGTACAAACAGTTTCGCAAAATCATATGGTCTTAGACCTTGTTATGGCTTCACAAGGAGGAGCCTGTGCTATGATCAATCAGTCTTATTGTTCTTATATTAACTGATCAGGGGAGGTTGTGAGGAGCCTGCAGGAAATCCAGCAGATTACAGCAAAACACAATTGCCTAAATTAAATTAGCACTGGTAGAATCCTTCCTCCTGGTTCTCTTAGTGGCAGGGAAATGGCATATTAGCCATTATTATTCTTAGACTTTGTATTAGCTGTTGTACAAAGATATGTGAAAGGATTTGTCCTAGTGGTCTTCTTTTGGTTCTTGATTCTGATAATGAGCATATAAGAAGCTTTGTAAATTTGGTTTATAGAAAGTGATCCATGATGGGAAGGGGATAACCCCCCCCCCATCACCACAAGGATCAAAGGGGAGGAACTGTGAGAATCCAACTGACTCCATTTTATGAACAACTTCCATTTTGAGACTTCAGTTTTGTTTTCCCATGCATCTTATTTTGGGGAATTCTACCTGTTTGCACACCCCCTACCAACTTGGAAAGTACCAAATTTAACCTCCAATAAGAAATCAGATTATATAATCTTACATCCTGTTCTGTACTCTTTTTGTTGTTTTCTTTTAATGTATAAAAATCTGTGCAAAAATCTGTATTTAGGGTCCTTGTGTCTGCTGAGGGACCCTGGACCTCATTTGTTCTGCAACTGTATATCTTGCAAATAAATCACACAGTGTGGACTTTGTTACCTCAGTTATACATTCACTCACGACAGTCTAAATCTTGGCTTTGCCTCTTACTAGCTGGGTGACCATGGGCAAGTCACATAATTTAGCTTCAGTTTTTTCATTTGTAAAATAGGAATAATACTTGTTGTACTTAACCTCATAGAGTTGTTGTGAAGAAAGTGTTCTACAAACCTTAAAATGCTGTAGAAATTAGTCCAGTTACTTCCCTTCTCTGAATCTCAGTTTCTTCAGCTATAAAATGAAAACCTACATTACAGGGTTATAAGGAAATCCTTTGCAAACTATAAAACACTATGTAAATGTTAGTATCTATTATTAGTAGTCATTTAAATAATATAATATTAATGACTATACATGACTTTGGCTTCTCTGGGACTTCAGCACTGACCTCAGCTGACCTGCTTCAATGTTCAGCAGTAGATGCCTCTCAGCCTGGAACCAGCTTTCCTTTCCTTGACTCTCTGTCTTTGATGTTGTTGTGGAAAGACCACTGGATCTGTAGTAAGAAGGCCTTAGTTTGAATTCTAGTATTGCCACTTATTAGCAGTGTGACCTTGGGCAGGCCCATGTTTTCTCCTCTGTAAACGAAGGGGTTGAACCAGATGACCTCTATATGTTCTGTGATACTGTGGTAGTTGCTGCTTGGTTTAGCCTTTTGACTCTGAGCCCCATCTGATTTACTTATGGCCATATTTTGAATAAGAGCAAAGTTTAATTTACAGTTTGAAGTCTGACCCCAATATTCGAATTTTTCTAATATTCAAGTGCCTAACATAGAACTCTGTTCAGACAGGATCAACTTGGGAAAAATATTAACTACATATTTGAAAAAACAAACAATTTTTAAGAAAGATTATGTAAATTACATCTAAGGGCTTATCTTTTATACGTGATTAGTAATTATTAATTTTTTCAGTACCCTTCATTCTTATGGGCCTTAATCTTTATGAAAATGCAAGTGGCTCTGGAATGAACAAATGTCCAACTGCTAACAAGGGGCTTGGAGATCTACAGCATTTTTTTCTGCTACTGATTCAACTGTCAATCACTCGGCAAAACTGGTGAACGGTTTTTCAGAAAACTGGAAAGAAAACAGGATGAGTAAGAAAACTAGAATTCTAGTCCAAGTTTTGCCACTAACTTGCATTACAAAATTCATGAATTGATGAGAAACTTCCAAATGTAAATCGAACTTTGCTTTTTATTCAGTATAGCAATCTAAGTGCCATACAAACTCAAAATTCATTACTGGATTCACACTTACTTAACACAGGCAAATCACTTCACTCCCTGGCACTAAATCTGTAAAATGAAAATCAGACTACACAATCTCTAAGGTTTCTTCCTGTCCTCAACTTTTATTTGTTATGTCCTAAGTTCTTTCTTTTCCAACTCAAACCTCCCACATTCTGTTCTCCTCACACATTTTGTGCTCTCAGCTCCCTTTGAGATCTCCCATTCTAGGATTATATGATTAGAGAGGTGATATAGTCCTACTGTACTTAGCCCCAAGCAGACTACAGACACAGCACTCAGTGCTTCCAGGATGTTCATATTTTAAGAACACATAGACAACAAACTAGAGTACCAAAAAGAGTGGCCGGAATGGCGTGGGGTCTGGAAACCATAGAATTTGCATCCAGTATAAAGATATAGGGATAATTCTCCTAAAGAAAAGATATGGGTACCATGACAGTTGTCTTCAAGTACTTGAAGGGGGGGCTAGCATGTATTAAACTACATCCTGCTTGGTCTCAGAGGGCAGAACTAGGAACAGCTGGGGCAGGGTACATTACAGAGAACAGATTTCAGTTTGGAGTCAGGAACTTTATAACAACTAGAGCTACACAGCAAAGGAAGGAATGCACAGCTCTGTGAAGTGATGAGCTCTCCTTCATGGGACATGTTCAAGCAGAGGTTAATAATTTGCAAGGGTGATGTTGCAGAGAAAATTCCTACATAGAGTGGGAGGCAGAATTATGTGACCTCTAAAATCCTGGATCTATCCAATCAATGTGACAAATACATAAATAATCCTATTACCAATTAGAATGTGTTAAATGTCATAAACCTCATGAAATCACAGAATTTCAGTGTTGGCAGGTACCTCAGTGGTCACCTAGTCCAAATGATAACTGGATGAGAGTCTCTACAACCACATATTGAATAAGTAGTCACCCAACTCTGGCTGAACACCTCCAGGGAGGGGAAACCAATTACCTCTGGAGGCAGACCATCGCACTTCTGGATATCTCTAATAGTTAGAAACTTTTTCATTACATCAAACCAAAATTGACCTCTCTTCAATTTCTACCCATCATTTCTAGTACTGCCTTCAAGGGCCGAATAGAACAAATCTAACCTCTCTTACATATGACAGCCTTTCTACTACTTTAAGGCAGCTATCATGTCCCCCTGAGCCTTTCCTTCTTCAGGCTAAACATCCTCCCTAACTCTTTGAACATAAAGAGAGGTAACCAGGATCTGTGAGGGGTTGAAAGAGGGAGAGAACACACCCTGTGGAAGGGAACCGGGACTTTGGAGACTTCCAGTCTCTCACTCAATGCAGGAATCTCCCCTACAGAATCCTTGAGAGTTAATTATCCTGCCTTTGCTCAGAATATGCCAGTGATAAAGAACTCCCTACCATTTGAATCAGCTCATTCCATTGTCAGACATTTCAAAATTAAGAAAATCCTTCCATATGGTGAGAAAACTATAAAATAGTAATAGTTGACACATAACACTTTTACAAAATGTTTTCACATCCGTTACTTCACTTAATCCTCACAGAAACCCCAAAGGAGGGAGTATAAGTGTTATTATCTACAATTTACAGATGAGGAAAAAATCTCAGCAAGATTAAATGTCTTGCCCGGGATTATATATTTGAGAAGGTTGCCCATGTCTTTTGCCTCCAAATCATTAGCTCTTTCCACTCTTTTCAAATACCTCTGTAAGAACCAGGCCAACATTTCTTAAAGAGATATAGAAGAAAAACTAAAGTTCACAATCTCTTCCGTTACCAGTAAGGTGGACCTCTTTTCTTCTTAAAGAGATGTCATCTTCTCTGTTTGGGAAGGAATAGGACAGCCTGGCGGACCTGTATAGTATGTGGATTATCAGCATTCCTTACATAGCTGGGATACCGAAAACCATTCAGGCTTTTAACATCTGTAGATTAGATAATTGTCATGCACTGTTGCCTGGTTCACCATGCAGAATGACTAGAGCTTGTGATTTGGTCTGCCATGTGGCAGTGTGTTCTGTACAACAAACAGAAATATTGCCAATTTTGACAGTTGTTGCACAGTGAATTTATTAAATATTTGGTTAATATACTTTCTAGTAATGGTTTTCCTGTATTGATCTATCTTACCCCCTCCCTTTCACCAGGAATTCTCAAGCACTTACCATACCCATAGTACTGTGGTAGGCATCTTAAAGATTGCAAAATTGACCTGAGATGTGGCCTACCACTTTTAGTACCTTATGACCTAACTGGGGAGACAAGACATAATATGAAATAAATAACATTATCATTGTAATGTTAACCTAAAAGACCTGCTAGGTCTGAATCCCAGCCCTACTGTTCACTTGCTATGTGATCTTGAGAAATTTACTTTTCCTTTCTGAGCCTTAGTTTCCTCACACAAATAGTAGTTGAATGACAGATCTCACAAGAGTATTATGAGACTCAAACAGATAATGGATGTCAAGTGCTAAGTAACTAAAGTATCTATCTGTGGAAATGACAAATGAGACAATAGATATAACATGCTTTAAAGCAATATGTAAATGTCAGACATTATTGTTGTTAGAAATATGACAGTTTTTCAAAGCAGGAACTACCTTTATAGCCCCAAATAAAACAGTGATTCCAGCCATTTTAAGTAATGTAATCTTTAGAACACAGAGCAGGGAGAACACTGTATTGGGAAGCACAACCTTTGGTGTGACTGAAGCCTTTGTGGCCCTTGTCTCAGCTCTGCCACTAACTAGACCTATATTTTGGACAGTTCCTTAAGGACAAGGACTGTTTCATTTTTGTCTTTGGATTTCCAGCAATGGCGCAATGTCAGGCCTATAGTACAATCTTAATAAAGGTTGTTAATTAACCCCTATGACCTCCATTTTCCTCAACTGTAATATGAGGGGGTTAATCCAGCTGATTTCTAAGGTTCTTTCCAGCTTTGATACACTATGATTCTATATTTGCAGGTGTTAAGGTAATGGTAGACATTTGGAGAAACATTTTAGGATCAAGTTTGACAGTGGCATGCAATGTGCCTATTTTTTCCTATATTTTAATGTTTTTAAATTATATTTGAATGTCATAATTTATAATACTTACATGAGGAGCATCTTCAAATGGAACCAGATGACCCATTTAAAAATACTGTACCATGTACTAAGGAAGCAGTTACGTCAAATGATGGAAGCATCATGACAATCACTGAAAAAAAAAGGCAACTAAATGGCTTCCCCAAGAACAAGTCATGCCACACTAACCTCATGCCTTTTTTAATTGGCTTTCTAGAATGGTAGATCAGGAGAATGATGTAGACATAGGATAAGAGCTGGAAGAGATATTAGGGGTCATCTAGTTCAACCCTCAACATGTTCTGTGAATATTTTAGCCTAGAGAGATTAAGTAACTTGCCCAAGGTCATGCAGGAAATATGGCAGAGCTTGGGTTCAAAGTGGAAAGTATTTTGACTCTAAATCCAATATTTTTTTCTATCATATCCCACTGACTCTCATAAGGTTAGCCAGATTTAGCAACATATTTGACAGAGACTATTGCTCTATTCTTATGGAGATGTCAAGAAGAAGATTAAATAATGCTATGGTCAGGTAGATTCAGAACTAGTTGAATAGCCATGCTCAAAGAATAGTCCCTAATGATTTGCTGTCAGCTTGGGAATTCTAGAGACTTCCCTGAAATACTTTAGGAATCTGTGTTTAGCTGTGTGCAGTTTAACATTACTATTGATGACCTGGATAAAGGCATAAATGGATGTTGACATAAAGCTAAGAGGGATAGTCAACGCATTGGCAGGATTCAAAAAGATCATGGCATGCTTTAACACTGGACTAGACCTAAGGGATGGCTAGACAGCAGTTCACCTGAAAAATATTTGGGGATTTTGATGGACATGAGCCAACAAGTGTGATACTTCAATAGATCTGTGAATTCGTTGATGTGGTGTGCCCTTTCAATAGCACAGACTGTAATAATCCATTTGTGTTTTCTCATCCTACAGGATTCTTAGCCATAACCTCCATAAATCCTCCAAAGGGCAATCACTCAACTTGATAGAGATCTTATTCTAGGTAGCTTCATGTTGCATAGCCTCGTATGGGCCCATCAGTGGTTTCTCTTCACTCTTGCTATATAACACCTTCTTTTTTGGTTATATATTTCTTTGATAATGTCTTTTAGACCACTTCTGTGCAATTTTTTGTTGATAACGTATTGCAGTCTTTTCACAC